CGCGGGGGCGGGCGCCATGTTGGGAAGGTCAAGGGGGTGCGGGCTTCGTGTCCTGGGGGAGCCGCCGCTCTCCCTCCGCGCCGCTCCCTCAGGACCGGGAAAATGCGGAAGAAATGGGGAAAGCTAAAGGCGAAAGCTGCCTCATCTGCACGATGAGCCGGTGTCGGTGATGGGTTGTCCCCCATCACTGTGTGGAGCAGCTCCCGCCTCGCTCACACTGATGTTCTGACATTTTTAGGGCCATTCTCCCAAAAAATGTCCCTTTCCCAATCACCTATCACCCCCACACGCGTTTCCATCATCGCTGCCCAGTTGCTGAGCTCTGCCAGAACCTCAGGCAGGACCAGGATCCAGATCCATGAAATATTTCCTGGGAAGGGGGGTTCCTCCACACCCCACACCTAAAACAGCAAACCCAAGCGTTGACTTGTAAATTTATTTTGGCACAGCTGTGATGAACAGTAATTGCTTTTTCCTGCTGCCACCGCTAAAGAAAGCGATGAAAGCGGCTGAAATACGGTGGCGTCATGTTGGAATTTAATTAAAGGTAATGGAGCAGCGGTGCTGAAGGTGCTGAGGGCTGGCTGTGTGCCACGGCAGGTGATGGATGTGTGACACTGGGGTGGGGGACATGCCGTGATCCCTCAGGAATGGCACCTGTGGGGAGAGGGAGGCTCCAGAGGAGCGTGAAGCTGAAAGAGCTGAGCTGTGCCTTCCTGACATGAATCAGAATTCCAGAGTCAGTGAGGCTGGGAAATCTCTCTTAACACCATCGATTGATCCCTACCTGAGTGCCACATCCAGATTTCCTCAGACACCCCAAGGATGGGGTCTCCAAACCTCCCTGAGCAGCCCCTTGCAATGCTAACAACCCTTCCCATGGAGAAATTCCTCCTGATGTCCAACCTGACCCTCCTCTGGCACTGCATGAGGATCTATCCTCTTCTCCTGTCACTAATCCTTCTTTCAGGAACCCTCTTCCTTAGCAGGTCCCCAAAGCTCACCTCGGTCTTCCCAATTTATCCAAGAAAGCAGCAGCAAGATGCTGAGATTTGTTTGTCAGGTTGGCAACAGCAAATACATCCTCAGTAGAGGCCAGGGAGCCCATTAAAAGAGCAAACTCAGCTGTGCTGGGAAGTGTGAATGCGCTAAGCTGAGCTTCCTCAGTGCTCCTCTGCCAGCTCATGATGTGGAGAGGGGTCTAATGTAAATAAAAAATTCCAATTTGCTCCTATCACACAGATCCTGTGAGCTCACAGCTCTCACTTTGCAGAAGCTCTGCCTGGGCATGCAGCTGCGCGCTGGCTGAGCTGGTGCAAACCTGGGAATTGCATGAACTCACCTTTTTCTGAAGAAAACAGCAACAAAAGCCCAAACCCATCCTTTCAACTTGTGATTCTGCCCATCATGGGAATTACCCCAGACCCAGCAGCCTCATTGCACAATCTTTAGAAGGAAAGACATGGGATTGGTGTAGGACAGCTGGAGGATGGGGGAAAAGCTGTGATTCCTCCTCAGAAGGAGGTTGGCAACACCAAAGCTCAGCAGGATCAGGTGTCTATTCCTTGTGGAGAGAAATCCACGACCCCTTTCCCTTCCTCCCCTTGGGAGAACCTCTGCCTTCCCTGGAAGGCGTTTGGCCCCTACAGGGAAGGCAGCAGGAACAGACGTGTCAGACCCTCTATCCCCATGGGCAATCTTTGTTCCCATCCCCTGCCCACAGTGCCAATGCTGAATTTGACAGTGGATTTTCTATTTTTGCAGCCCCTCCATCATCCTCCTAGCTCTGGGAGCACCGAGCGGTGCCGAGGCTGCAGATGGGCTCTGCAAAAAGCGTTTCTTGGCTGGAAAGAGCCGGAGCTGGCTGTGGGAAGCTGGGACAGCACGGAGGGACAGCCTCCACCTTCCCTGCGAGCCCAGAAGCTGCCTCAGAGCTGCTGGCAGTGCCTCCCATGCCAGAGGAGCAGACGCGCCGCGCCGGCTGCTCCGGTGCTGGCAGCCTGGTGCGAGCAGAGCCCTGGGAATGGATCCGTGCTGGAGCAGGGAATGGCTGCACCCCAAACCCGCAGCTGAACCCTTCACTGGTGACTGATGGGCTGCTGAAACCCTGCAGGTCCCCACCCACCTCCTTGTCTGTGGCTGTTGGGTGCCAGCCCTGCACATGGCACCGGGGAAGTGTCAGGGCTTTCTTGGGAGCCGACTGTGCCCGTTTGTCACCCTGTCACTCACAGCCACAGCACAGGTGTGACCCGAGAGCCCTCTGCCTGTCCTGGGCCTGCTCAGTTCCTTAGCAAGTCAGAGGTGACTCCATTCCCTTCTCTTTCTCCCAACTATTGGGCTGCTCATCCCATCATGAAATTCTTGTTTGGTTTCTGGAGCAGCAGATTCTTCCTGCCTGGGTGCTGCTGGCTGCCAAAGCACCTTCCAGGGCAGGGGAAAATGCAGATCTGTCCTGAAACCTGGAGAACACTTCCTTCTTACCCAGATCCAGAGCCCTGACAGCCTGGAGTGGGCTGGTTGGGGTCGCTCCATCTCTTTCCAGTGGAAATGTTTCTGCTTCTCCTTCTCAGGCCCCTGAAAGTGGAAAGGATTTACTCCCAAAAGTTGAAAGTTTACTTTGGTGCCTGTTTGGACACCACAGTTGGTGCTGCAGGACAGGACAGGGGTTCCTGTGGTCTCTGTCACAACCAGCCATTACATCCTGAGCTCATTTATAACTGGGACAACTGGGACGAGCAATGGAAAATCCATGGCGGGGGTCAAAGCTGGCCCTTGCTGATGCAGCTTGTCTGGGTCCAAGGGTAAGAGTCCTGCTGGTGGATCTCCCTCTGGAATTTTCCACAGCGTCAGCCCCACCATCACTCCAGTGGGAAATGGTCCAGGAAGCAAATCCAAGAGGCTCATGTTCACCTTCTTTCTTTCCATCACTTTCCTTCCTGCATGGCCATGGGGACGTGTTAGCCTAGAGAATGGCAGGAGTGAAGGAGCTGGGAAAGGGCACACTGGGGGGGACAGCTCTGACCCACAGTGGGGCTGATGGAGGAGGTTTAGGGGCAATTTTCCCTTTCAGGGGGAATTATTTTTTTTTCATGTGGCAGAATCAAACCTGGAGTAAAGGTTTGGGTGTCTCTGAAGTGAGAAGGCAAGAGGTGCCCTCTGAAGAGAACAAGACTCTGACCATGCTGCACGCTGGTGCAAATGTGGCACAGCTCCTCCTGTGATTGCCATGCCAGCTCTTCCGTGGATATCACCCCTCTGCAGATGGAGCTCCTGCAGCCCAGACTGCTCTCACTCCCAGCCTAATGGAATGTGTTATTTCCCATCTCCCTCCCACTCAGAGTCATTACAGAGCTTCCACAGCTCACACTGCCTCAGCATTACTGGGAGCTTCCTGGAGCTGATCAGTCCCTGGACAAGGAGCGTGCCTTTGGATCAAACATTAGAGCTGTAATCCACTGCACGCTGCCTGTTCCATTACCCATTGGGAGCTTTCTCCTCTCCCCAGGGCTGCTTGCAGCAGAGTGCTCCGAGGGGTGTTGTTCCAGCACAAACAGAGCTCTTGGAATGAGCTCAGCGAGAACAGAACTCCTGGTAGGTTGGGAGGATAAAATTGGATTGGAATTGGATATATTCACGTACATACCATTGATCTCATCCATCCGTACTTTACATATGTTGGATTTCCTGCTGCCAGCAGAGAGGAGTAGCTCTCAGATAAGCCAAAGGTATGGAAATGGAGAGCAGGATGTTCAAGTGGAATTAGGATTTCACTTTGGGGTGTGTTTGAGAGGCAGGAGAAAGGGCAGAGTGCAGTTCCCTCACACTGTGCCTGGCACAGCTGCCCCTCACTGTGCTGGTGGATTTACAGCACCCGGCTGACAGGAGGGGTTTGGGCACAGGGAGAGGCTGCCCATCAGGGCTCCTGCATTCTCCAGCAGTGTGGGAATGTGCCAGAGCACCCTCCTGGAGCAGGGAACTGAGTTAGGGACACACAGGTCCCCCCCTTGTGTCACCAGTTTGGCCAGGAGGTCTGGTAAATGTTTGCCTCAGTTTCCCTCATGGCTAAAAGGGAGGGATAAGACTTAAACTCC